CTCCCTCCCCTGCACAGGCCCTCCTGGATGTGGGGCAAGCCACTGGCTCCATGGGTCGTATGGCTTCCCTCTGCCAAGCTCACCCGTGTCCTCTAGCTCCCAGCAGCCCTGCGCAAAGCCTCCTTCAAGCCCCCACTTCCATCAGCGCCCCCCCGAGGGTCCAGGAGGGCCCTCGGAACCTGGGGCCACTTCCCTCTACAACTCCCCAGACCCCCAGAGCGCGCTGCACAGGGCTCTCTCCTCCCCCACACCCCTGGCTGCACCTAATCCATCCCAGCCTGACCCAGCAAGGCCCATCGCGTGTGGTTTCCACATTCCAGAAGAGACGTCGCTTCTTGCCGGGAACTCCGGTGTGCGCGAGAGTGGGTTCTAAACAGGCAGCGTAAGGACTGGCTGCTGGAAGCCCTGGGCCACAGACGGTTCTGTGAGGTGCAGGATGCTGGCATTTCTCTAGATTTCTGCCCCTTCCAGCGGCGTCTTTTCACCTTTGCGGGCAGGGCTTTCTTGCAGGCCATCTCTGGCATGTCGGCTTGTGCCACCCTGCACTCACAGGCCCTCAGCATCATTCCGGTTAGGAGGTGAAAGTCAGGAGCTGGCTGTGCAAAGCAGCTTCTGGCACACACTCCCTGCGCTGTCCTGCCTCTCATCTCACAGACACACCCTGGCCCCTGGAGAGGACTGACGGTGGAAGGCTCCAGAAGGTTCCCACAGGCAGCTGGGCAGGGAGAGGAGCTGCTCCTGAGAGGAACGAAGCGATCCCCTGGAGAAGGCCCCCAGCCCTGCTCCGTGTCCTGTCCCCCTCCCCTCGGACCCCTTGACGGAAGACCCCAGTCCTCCTGCGCCCCGGGGAGGTGCCTGGGACCTGCTTCTGCAGACAGACTTGGGGGCGTGTGTCTGTCACAGCAGTTTGTTTCTACTGGGGCACGAGGGAAAGCTGAGCTGGGCCTCCCAGCAGCTTCCCTGCAGGCGAGGGGCGGCGGGAAAAGCCACTTTTCTGCACTGCTCTGTGAACAGGGTCTGGCCAGGTCCCTCGATTCATCTTTCATTCACACCAGCACAAGGGGCTTTGGGGGACCAACCAATGACGCTGGCAGGTAAAGTGGCACGCAGAAAGACACAGGGAAACGGGGTGCCGAGTGAACTCCAGAGGACCAGGGGATGCAGACGGCGAGCAGGGCCAGGTCGGGAGGGCGGGCCCGCAGTGTGGGCCGCCCCGGACACAGGGGCCGCCTGTCCCGGGGAGGAGCGCACGAGGACAGCACAGTGGAATTTCCCAATTACGGCGTGAAAAGAGAGCTCCTCTTGCGCCACTGGGCCCCCTCCCGCCCCACAATTAAAAACCAATCCAGTTTCCAGTGGCTTCCTAGCTCGGGCTCTGGGCCCACCAGCCCCTAATGAGGGGCTCTTCTGTGGAGCCCAGGGCCGGGGGTAAGGGGACACAGGATTAACAGGGGACGCACTGGACGAGCTGCCAGGCGTGTCTGTGTCGGAGGAGGGCCAGAATGCATCAGAAGCTGTTCCCAGTGGGGCTTCTCAGGGTCAGGGTCTCATGGAAGAAAGCCTTGTGACAGCTCCCCCCCGACTTGGGCCCCTTCCCAATGCCTCATCTTGGGGGCTTCCCTTTCTCCCGGGAGGGGGCTCGGGACCCCAGCCACCAGGGACGGGGCTGGTGGGGGCTGCAGCCCTGAGTTCACAGCACAGTCACTGGCTGAAAAGAAAGCATTCTCCGGCCAGCCCTCTTTGCAAGGCAGCAGGGAGGAAGGTGGGGGGGGGGGGGGGGGAGGCCCAGCTGATTAGGCCCCAGGCCACCGGAGGGCCACGCGGGCCGGGGTGAGCCTCGCAGGCTCCTGCACAGAAGCAGGCCTTGTCAGGATGACAGCTGCTGGGTTGCGCTGGAGTTCACATCGCAGTTTATCAAAGAGGCTGCGTTTTCTCCCTCCTCGCCTTTTCTCGGGAATATAGTGGGACGGTTCGTGGGAAAACAAGCCCTGTGCTTGTTCTGTCTGCACGGGCTGGGGGGTGGGAAGGGCCGGAAGAAACGTACACGCACACCCACTCGGGGCTGGGCTGGGCCGCTGGTAGGCGCCCCGGGAGCTAGCGCTTGGCACAGAAGGTTGATTCTCTCACCCTCTACCGGGAGGTCTCCCCTCCCCACAGACCACAGGGCGGGGCGGAGGCCGCAGCCGTGTCCTGAGGCCAACAGCAGAGACCCCCAGCTGTGCCCGGCTGCTGCCCCTGGCTCTGCAGAATGATGGGGCAGGCACGAGACCACGTTTTACAGCCAGAGCAAACTGGGCTTGGAGACGGTCCACACAGCTCACAACTGGAGGAACTGGGATTCGAACCCAGGGTTGTTTGACTTGAGAAGCCCCCTCTTCAACTGGCTCCCAAGTGCCCGTGGCACCTGCCTGACCGCCGTGGCGCCCTGGGAGGGGGCGCATGTGTGGGCAGGGCTGGCCGCTCACACCACCTGTGCTCAGCATCCACCCCCTG